CTCTTCATTGCTCTCTGGGATCCATCTTTAGAATCAGCCTGGTACATAGAGACAACTGATCCAAGACACTTAGCCCCAGAGTTCACCATCAGGACACTTGTCAACCTCAGCAGGAGGGCCCTGCTTTATACAGTCTTGGCTCATATTATCCTCTGGAAATGTGTCTTCTTTGAAGACATAAATTCAACCCAAATGTGAGGCTTGAAACCTGTGAGGAAGCCATCTCTGTGGGTCAAACGGTCATCAAGAAGCATCCCAGCTGCAGAGCGATGGCCATGACATCGCAAACCTTCTATGGGGCCGTTTGATGACGGCTCCTTCAGCTCACAGCTGCAGAGGGATGTGGCCCATCACAGCAGGGCAGCCCCACTCACAGTGGGTGAGCATGTGGGGAAGGCTGTTTACAGCATGACGGAGCAGGAGACAGAAGGCAAGATAGGAACCAGGCCCCCACGTCCCATCAGCTAGGCCCTGCCTCGGAGGTTCAACATGTGCTGGAGCTCTTTCAGGCTCTCAGAGGGGCTCCTGGGGTGCTACTAGATCGCATGTGGCCCCTCAACCTCAAGGCTCTGTAAAATGGACTTCCATTTCTGTCTTCTTCCACAGAGCCCCTGACTGCAGTGTCATGAGAGGAGGAGGGCTGGACGTTTGGTATAAACTGTGGCCTAGGCCCTGATACTGAGCCAAGCCCTCTTGTGATTAAGAGAGGCGGCGAAGGAGGCTCTGGGTGACCAGAAGGATGTGTTCCCAAGCCAGTAGCCCTGGGGAGGTCTGGCTAAGGCCAGAAGGTGCTGTCCTTCTATCTGACACAGCTTTTAGCACATGATGACTGACTCTCATATCCTAGGGACTCACTTGGCCATGCAAAGAGTACAGAACCTACCTACCCAGTGAGCTCGTGCTGCAGGACCTGAGGTTTTAGCTGGCCCGAGGCCTCGAGATCATCTTAGAGGATCTATTTTAATATTAGGTTGCTGCTTCCAGAAGCTTACACTGTCACGAGTAACCAAAGCTCAGCCATTCCTGCCTGCATGGGCCCTGGCTCCCAAGCCTGGCCACTCTAAACTGCTGTGGTCCCTGCATATGCACCTTCCAGCACATGTTCAGGAGCTACACAGAAGTCACACCTAATCTGTTGTTATTGTCAGGGACTCTCAAGCCCTTTTCTGAGCCCAGTGGCCTCTCCTTACTACCTGATGAGGATATGAAGCTATTCCCAGGAGCAGCTGCTTATCAAAGAGCCTTCTTCAACCCTGCCCCACCTGCTTGACCCCTTGCTCTCAAGCTTTCTCTTCATGCAGAACTTTGGTCTGGGGCTTGCCCATCTGTTTGACCTATCTGCTTTTAAATTATGTTTGTTTGTTTTGAAGGCATCTTACTAGTGTACCCAGGCTGGTCTCAAACTCCTGGGCTCAGGTCATTCTCCCACCCAGGCTTCCTAGTGGCTGACACTACACAGGTGTGTGCCTCTAGCCAGCTCTCCTCCCTGCAGACAGAGGCTACGGTGTAGCCCAGGCTGCCCTCAAATACACCATCCTCATCCCTCTACCTCGGCCTCTCACCTATTGGAATTGCGGCTACACGGATTTGCACCACCACCTGACTTTACCATCAATCCCCGATTCACACTCTGTAAGAAGATAGGACAAGCTCTCACTTCAAGGTGGTTCCACAGAAGTTTTCAACGTATGACAATGTGTAAGGGTACCTGTACAGCCATCCTGTTGTCCACTCTCAGGATTTAGCAGATTGCATGAGACATTCAACACTTCATTATAAAACAGGCCCAGCAAGTAAAGGCACTTGTCACCAGCCGGGGGACCTGAGTTGGGTCCCTAGGATGCACATGGTAGAAGAAGCGAACCGACTCCCAAAATCGGTCTTCTGACCTCCACATGTATGAACCTTGTCCCCACCCAACAAGGAAATGTAATTTTTAAAAAGCAGGGAGGTGGAGAAATCAGTCACTAGAACACTCTGCTCTTGCAGAGGACCCGAGTTCAATTCCCAGTACCACATCAGGTGGCTTATAAACACCTGTAGCCTAGGCAGGTATGATGGTATACGTCTTTAACCTGCACTTGGGAGACGGGCAGATAGATCTCCATGAGTTCGAGGCCTGGTCTATATGAAGAGTTTCAGGCCTGCCAGGGCTGCATGTTGACCCTCTCTCAACAACAAAAAGTTGTCTTTTATAATCTATTCATTTTTATTTTATGTACATTGGTCTTTTTGACTGCATGTATGTCTGTGTGAGGGTGTCAGGTCCCCAGGAACAGGAGGTACAGATAGTCGAGAGCTGCTTTGTGGGTGCTGAGAATTGAACCTGGATCCTCTGGAAGAGCAGCCAGTGCTCTTAACTGCTGAGCCATCTCTCCAGCCCAGCTGTTGTCCTTTAAAATGGACTTTGTACTAGATGATTTTTCCTAACTGTAGGCTTCCTTAAATGTTCAGGACTCCATACTTTTGCCCTGTGCACCCCAGCTATCCCATGTATGGCTGGGGTGGAGGAAGTGGGACTGAGCCAGTCTGGTAATACCTTGTTCTACTAAGGCCTGGCTTGGTGGTGGCACTGGTTCCTGATCTGGAGACTGACTCAGAAAAGTCCCTTCCCTGACTCAGTTTCTCCACCTGCCAAGTACGTGGATTATCGCCTTTCCTACCCCGAGGCTGAGGAAGAGGCTTGTCCATTTTGCTTTTTTTCCTGGGGAAATCTCACCTTCAAAGTGCTACATTTTTATTACAGACGTTTATGAAAACAATGGTGGCAGGGCAGTGATTGTCTTAATTACGATAATTACGGAGCAAGAGTGAGTGGGTAGAAGACCTGCTTATTTACCAGGTCCTCAAAGATTTCAGTCTTCCCCCGATATCCCCTACAATCCCAGAGCTGGGACATAAACTCCTATGCCACTAATTCAGCCAAATCAGCGCGCGCGCGCACACACACACACACACACACACACACTCTCACCTTTTTTAAAAAATCTTCAGTGGAAGCTTCTATTTGTCCAATAGGTGGATTATATCAGGTTTGGTGAGAAGCTATTTTCATACCGCTGGTGATGGGGCTTGAGTTAGACTGTGATAGGTCGGGGATCATTCTAACAGCCAGAACCTAGGGTGAGGGAGAAAGGAGACGTGGGCCAACAGGGAGGATGGTGAGCTGGGCTGGGTGAGCATAGCCTGCGTTTGGCTTTTCAGCATAGTCGGGGGTCTCCAGGGCCAGGCTTGAGGAGAAATGTTGGTCTGGTATTCTGCCTGGGTACCGGGACACCACAACCCACTCCTCACCACAACCTCGATCTTCATCTCTGAATCATCCTTTAATGAGGTCCCATTTTCAATCTGTACCCCATTATTAAGTAGATCATGCCTTCCATGACAGTGTATTATTGTCCCCCAACTCTGAGAGAACTGTGGGGGTGACAGTTGGAAGTGTGAGGACCCTCCTGTGAGCTCAGCCCTGACTCACACTTAGATTCTTCTTTAGCAGAAATCCCACCAGGGTGGCCCACCTGCCCCAAAAACCAGTCCTGAACTGAGCTGGGTCCACTCCAGGGAAACTCACAAATTTCTCTTATTTTTTATTTTTAAAGGCAACATCTCATGTGCCCTGGGCTGGCCATAAATTTGCTATTTAACTAAGGATGACCTTGAACTTGAACTCTTCATCCTCCTACCTCTACTTCCAAGTGCTGGGAATATAGCCAGATACGGCCACCAAGATGGGTGGGAAGGGACAGGTGGGTTGGTGCCAGCATGATGCCCGGAGTTTGATCCCTGGGACTCAGATAATGGAAGGAAAGAACCAACCTCTGAACGTTCTCCTTTGACCACCACATGCGCACACACAAAGTAAATAAATGTAATAAAAGAATTGGTTTTAAGGCCAGCTGTGGCGGCGAGAGTCTGCAACGCCAACACTCCTAGGTCAAGGTGGGAGGCTGAGACAGAACTACCCAGAAGCCCAAAGAGATCATAACTCTGCAGAAACCATAGGAAGCCTTCCCTGTCGACAAGGTGGATTGGTAAATTTGTTCCCTGGTCTCCCTACTCACACACCACAGTACTTCTGCACTCATACACAAAGACAAACTAGTAATATATAATGCATATATTATTTGTATATACTGTATGCATACATATATGTTAATATATGCTTTATTATACATACAACATGTGTAACATATATTTTGCCCATGGTTCGACTGGAAAGGATCGCTGTTGTGTGTCTTTGTGTCACAGACTGCTCTGTGATCACTCTTTGTGCTTATTAATTTACGAGGATCTACCCAGGCCAAACGGGACACGTCCCGTTCACTTTGGTGACTGTCCCTTGTGCTATGGAGGGTGTTTCTTTCACCAGTTCCCCAGGCGTGGCCTTTCAGGTTGGTTTCTGGTGCTAGGAACATCCTCCACCCGTCAGGAGTATTTCTCCATCACCCACTCAGGTACAGGATCCCGAGTCCTTCACAAATCACAGAGCTTTGGAGACACATCTCCAGAGATAGCTTTTATCAAATTCTTGCCACTTATGCCCAGATGGGCATGACTAAGCCAGAGGGTACCCCTCTGTTCTCCTGATGGACAGGACCTGCTCCAGATTGCCCTGACAGAGGAAGCAGGGAGAGCCAGGCTGGTTCCTGGTTTGTGGAGCTGCTCTTAGGACCCCTTCCCTGGGCCAGGGTTTCACTCAGTGGCCATGTTTAACCAGCCCTCAGGTTGAGCTTGAGTGTGGAAAGTTCTGTTTGAAACTGGGCCGTCCTAGATAATCCAGAGACTCTGAGGTACCCCTGGACAGGCTCCAGGTTGACCTTGCCCAGTAATGTGGGGAGGGGAGAAAGGCCCAGGCTCCACTGAGATCGCCAAGGGCTGCTGGGCCGGCCCTGCCCCCTATCCGGCCTCCGCCCCTGCCCTTCCTACGCTCCCGGCGGGCGACCTGGTAGCTCGGGAGCCCAAACCTGTCGGGCCGGTTTGTAGAGCCACGGGGACCGAGGGAAGAAGGCTACAGAAGGATGCACGGCCTGGCCCGCACTGTCCGCCGCCGGAGCCTGTCCTGCCCACCCGCCCGAAATCATGACGCGCACGCCGGGCCTCATGGTGCCCCTGCTGGGCCTGAGCCTGGGGCTGGCCCTTAGCCTGCCCAGAGCTGTGGCAACCGACTGCGGGTCCCTCGGGCGCGTGGAGCAACTGGCATTCGCTCCGGCGGCCAGGACCCGATGGCTGGCCCCTCGGTTCCGCGCGCCAGGGCCCCTGGACTCCCTGTATGGCACCGTGCGGCGATTCCTCTCCCTGGTTCAGCTCAACCCCTTTCCTTCAGGTGAGTGTCCCCCTCTCCCAGAGGACCTCTGCAGGCACTGGGTCCCCAGCTAGCCTCTGTGCACATCCTGTCCACAAGCACTTGCAGGGTGAGGTTTCTTCTGGCACTGCACAGCCTTCTTTTTCCACAGGTTCTTAGATTCCACAAGCAGCTCCCTAGCCATGTTTGACCTTGGGCCAACCCCTTTTCCTCTCTAAGGGCAAGCACATTATATTGAATCATGGCTCCTTGTCCCAGCGCCGGGGGGAGGGGGGGTGTCAGGGGTCAGGAGGGCCAGAGGAGGCAGCGGGAGGACAAGGACTACCAGGCCAGCTGCAGGGCCTGCCAGAAGGGTCCAGAAGGTCTGCTTGAAGCCTTCTACCAGCTGCGTCTCCTGCAGCATGATGAGGCCTGGCACGCTGTCACGGCAGCCTGCCTGACACTGCCTTCTCTAAGAATGTCCCTTAGCCTGACAGTGGGGAGAGGCTAGACACAGGGGCAAGGCAGTGGCTGTCCCCAAACCCTCCAAATGCTTCCTTTCCCTAGAGTTGATAAGGGCCTTGCTGAATGATCCACCTTCTGTGAAGACCGATGAGGTGAGGACAGAGCCACAGGTGCTGGGGGAGGGAGTCAAGGGTGAGCAAAAGGAGGCCTCATCTGCTCAGGTCAGCCCACCTTGCCGAGGGTTTGCCGGAGTGGGGTCTTTTTCCTTTCCTTTTCCCCTCGTTTTACTCACAGTGGGGTTTGGAGTGATCCCCAGTGCCCCTAGACCCCAGTTACCTCATCTGTACAATGGTAATCAGCAAGGGTGCCCCTCACCTCCTGGCTGCCTGGGTTCACCAGGGTCCAAGCAGAGGCACTCAGGCCTTGCCTCCACTTCTGCCTTCCACGGAGAGTAGGGGAAAGGCAGGGCGGGCCCCCTCATGCCTTGCCGCCTTGCCCAGGTGGTTCGGTATGAGGCAGGCTACGTGGCGTGCGCTGTGATCGCCGGCCTCTACCTCCTGCTGGTGCCCATCACTGGACTCTGCTTCTGCTGCTGCCGCTGCCGCCGGCGCTGCGGGGGCAGGCTGAAGACGGAGCACAAGGCCATGGCCTGTGAGCGTGGCACCCTCATGACCTTCCTGCTGCTGACCACGCTCGTACTTCTGTGAGAGGCGGCCTGGGTTGGGGGGCGGGTAGGGGAGGGCTTGAGGGGGGCCCTGTGCTCCCAGGCACACTGCAAACTCCTTTTCTCCTTGCCTCCCCCACTGCAGGATCGGTATGGTCTGTGCTTTTGCTACTAACCAGTACACACATAGTCAGACAGGCCCCAGTGTGAAAGCTGTCCCTGAGACCCTGCTCAGCCTCAGAGGCCTGGTCTCTGATGTTCCTCAAGTGAGTACTCAACTAGCCAATTCCCTCATCTATGCGTGAGTGCCCTGCTTCAAGCCGCACAAGGAGAACCTGTGGAGGGGGTGTGCCTTCCCATATGCACCTCACTGCCCACTGATGGAAAGTCCCTGAATTGCCTACCTGAAGGATGCGGTGGCCCAAGGACAGGCAACATGGCTTGCTCCCCTGTGTTTGCTTAGGAGCTGCAGGCCGTGGCTGAGCAGTTCTCCGTGCCCCAGGAGCAAGTCTCAAAGGAGCTGGATGGTGAGGGTTACAGTTGGCCAGCTCCAGGTCCCTTTGCCCTAGCCTATTTTGGGGAAACCTCTCAGCTCCCTCACCCTGGACCCCACCAGGGTGTCACTTCACAAAGAGGGATCTCCTTGTGTAGCAGCTGTGCTACTGCAGGACAAGGAGGCCAGCATCACTTTGCAGAGCCCAGGGCTCACAGTGGAGGCATCCTCGGCTCCTGGGGGTGGGGGGTAGGGGGGACCAGCTCTGTCAAGTGCCCTGTGTTGTCCAGGTGTCGGTGAGAACCTTGGGAACATAATTCATAACCGGCTCAAGAGCACAGTGTACCCGGTGCTAGCCTCAGTGCACAGCCTGGGCCAGGGTAAGTTGGACCAGTGCCCTGCATGTGGGTGGGTCCAGCAGGTGTTCTCCAGGAGCTAATTCTCCCATCCCCCACCCCTGTATTTCATGTACTACCCCAGCTCCACCCAAGCTTTTCTCCTTCCATTATGCTGGGATCCTGTATGTGGCATCCCTGCCTACTTCCTGGCCTCGTGCACCCAGCAGCAGTTTCCGTTGTGGCTATAGATAGTTTACATCCCTTTTGGCCGGAAGGAGAGTACCCCTTTTTCCTAGGCTGCTGAAGGCACCAGGAAACCAGGAGCTCCTCAGGCCACGCGTGACTCTCTTAGCCCTGCAGGTCTCCATAGACCATCTTCGAGCCCTGAACGCCACCTCAGTGGAGCTGCAGGAGGGTCAGCAGCACCTGGGAGCCCCTCTGCAGGCACACCGGGAATACCTGCTCACCCTCCTTCAGGAGAGCTGGTGCCGAGGGAGCTGCCAGGGGGTCCTGAGCCGGGCCAGTGCTCTGCAGCTGGGTGCTGACTTCAGCCAGGTACAGGCCCTGAACAAAGTCATTGGGACTTGGAAGGACTGGTCTAGCCTGCACCTTTGGAATCCTCTGGCATCCTAGTGATCAGGCGGCTGTCTTTCCTTGGGCTTTGCCTACCTTCCCATAGCACCCAGCGTGAATGACCCTTCCTTCTTAGCGTGAGCCTAAGCTCTCCGCATGCTACACACTGAGTCTCCTGAACTCGCTTCTCAGGCTCTGCCTCCTAGGGTGATGGTGGGGGCGCTTTGTAGTCCCCATTTTACATATGAGGATGCTAAGGGTTCCAAGGCACCTCCTCTCTCCTATAGGGATCTTTCTCGTGTATAGACACTCCCTATTTCAGGTGCCCTCTGTGGATGATGTCCTGCACCAGCTGAAGGGTGTCCCGGAGGCCAACTTCTCCAGCATGGTCCAGGAGGTAAGCCCTATCTCGGTTACCGGGGCTCTTGCTCCACCAGCCCAGGAACTCACAAGGGAAGGGTCTCAGTTTCACTCTTTGGAGCAAGAACCCGGGTAAGCCAGGCAATGGTGGCCCATACCTTTAATCCCAGCCCTTGGGAGGCAGAGGCAGGGGAACATCTGGAGTTCAAGGCCAGCCTGGTCTACAGAGCCAGGGTTATACCAGAAAACCCTTTCTGGAAAAACAAACAAACAAAAAGGAACCTGGTTAAACTGAGTCCACCCCCGCCCTGTGGCAACTGGGGCTAGAGGCTCATTGTGCCAGCGCCTACTGCACACAGTCAGATTGGAGAGGCTGGTCTGCAGCTCACTGAGCTGGGCTCCCATAAGGCATGGGGTCTTTGGGCCACAAGGGAGCAGGTGCTTTGTCTGCACCCTGGAGGGCAGGCCTGCTTTCTGAGTGGGGACAGCCAAGGCGGGGGTGGTACTACGTGAGTCAGAGCCTGTGACCCAGGGCCTGGAGTTGGGGAATCAGTGAGTCAGCTGTGCCGGGAGGCTGGGGAGAAGGAAGCCAGACTAAAGCAGATGGAAGGTTGGAGCTGGACTGAGGGAGTAGAGCTGGCTGTTGGGACAGAATGAGTGGGACAGGTGAAGGGTGAAAGCTGCTGCTGTCTAGGAATCGGCCACAAGTAGAAGGGGGTATAGGGGTTGGTATTATGCCCCGTGTGCAGGACTTGAGTCAGGCAGGGGGAACCATGTTTGCAAGGACAAAGAGGACCACTTCCTTTGCTGGGAGCATTGAGCAGCAGCACCCTCCCTCTGGGCCTGTGACTTTGAGGCCCCAAGGTGGAATTCCAGGCAGAGAGCAATAGACAGCCTTGCTTGGCTCTGCAGGAGAACACCACCTTCAATAGCCTCCCGCTCCTGGTTGCAATGCAGACGGCCAATGTGGTCAAAGGTGAGGCCCTGCTCAGGGGTCTGGCTGCCTGGCGTGCCACCCCCACCACACCCCTTCCAGAGAAGGCTTGCTGAGAGAGGAGCTGGGCAGTGGTGGGGATATGCCTATCTTCCCTGTCTGGTGGGCTTCCTGTGGGTCCCAGAAACTTGGCCTGACTCCTGGGTACCCTCTGTTGTATCCCCTAAAACCCCCGCGGCTTTGGGCAGATCTGAAAAAGGCACTGGCTGAGCAGCCTGAAGGTGTGAGGATGCTAGCCCAAGAGTTCCCAGGCTCTGAGGCGGCTTCCCGATGGAGCCAGGCACTGGAGAGGCTGGAACTACACAGCCGCCCCTACTTGCAGGAAGTGCAACGGTATGAGACATACAGGTAAGTGGTGCCTTGAGCCTCCATCCTGTCCATCTTACCTTCAGCCATGTGTGCCCAAACCTGAACCTGGCGACCTTGCAAAAGCTACCAGACCTCAGGAAATGTTTGCACCCCTGCATTCTAAAGACCTGGTCTGGTGCCTAGAGGCCCAGGTCCCAGGCCAGGCCTCTGGTGCCAGCTGGCTCCCCTCTCAGTGAGCCCCATACTCTCTCTGTGGCAGGTGGATTTTGGGATGTGTGCTGTGCTCTGTCGTCTTGCTTGTGGTGATCTGTAACCTGCTGGGCCTCAGCCTAGGCATCTGCGGGTTGTTTGCCAGGGAGGACCCCAGCCACTCTGAAACCAAGGGCGAGGCTGGAGCCCGCTTCCTCATGGCGTAAGAAAGGGCCAGGGCGGGGAAAGGGGACCTCACTGCTGGGTTGTCAGATTTCTCCTGGTAGGGCAACATGAGTGGAATCTAGCAAGTTGGGAGAATGGTGCTGACCTGGTCCCCATTCCTTGAGCAACTCTGGGTAAAGCGATGACCTCTCTGGGCCCCAGTGTCCTTTCCCTAAGGGGTTCGGGCTGAAGCAGGAGAGCGACACCATTAATAACTACAGTGTTCCCACCAAGCCCAGACACAGCTTCAGAATCTTCCTTAACCCGGCCTCTAGACAGTCCCAATGCCAACAGGAGGGAGCAACAAAGGCAGAATCTGCTTGTCACCCTTAAACTAGATAGCCTTTCAGGTCAGGGATGCCACATATAGTTGGCCAAGCTGTTCTTTACACAAGGTGCTGATGAAAGGGATTAGTGAGGAAGTAAAATCTACCGCACATTTCACAGTCAGGGCCTCAGGGCCTGACATGGGGTTGTGCCCACTCCCAAAGAAACTGTACGTCAGTGGCAGCAGTCAAAGAGTCCTTACTGCCCAGGGTCTCTGGAGTGTTATCTGTGTGGACCAGTCATGTCTCACTATGCCAGTTACTATTTAGAAAGATTGGGCACTAGAGCTGGTTTCTTCCATCTGCCCTAAGTACAGAAATGGCTCTTTGAACAAGCAGGTGTCCTTCCTCTATGATTCCAGGGCAGCAAGACCCAACAGTAGGATGGGGTGGGAGTTTGGGGGTAGGGTGCCAAGGAGTTGCCAGGGGTGCTGGGTTCTCCTTTGCCCAGGAGGCATGCCTTGTTGCCAACCCGTGGCCTGTGCTGGCCCCAGGAGGTGGGTGGTCCAGGCAAGTCAGCTTCTATGTTCCTTCAACTGTGTCTCTCACCTCCAGAGGTGTGGCCTTCAGCTTCCTCTTTGCAGCCCCGCTCATCCTTCTCGTGTTCGCCACCTTCCTGGTGGGTGGCAATGTGCAGACGCTGGTGTGCCGGAGCTGGGAGAGTGGAGAGCTGTATGAGGTGGGCCTGGGCCTGCTCCAGCTCAGAGGGAGTTGAAGGGAGATTGGGCCAAGAGACTGAGTCAGGAGGAAGTGGGAGCCAGAGGTGCAAGTGGGAGAGAGGGACAGGAGGAAGGAGATCTGTATGCATGGGAGCATATAGAGAGACACCTGTGAGCCCCGAGCGCCTGGGGTGTTCCCCTGGGCCCAGCAAGGATTCCAGGTGGCCGCACCTACACTCTAACTCTGTGCCTGGGAAGGAAGGGTACTGTAGCGAAGGTCCAGCTTGCACTATTGCCAGAGATTCATAGGCAAAGTCCCAGGAAGGAGTCAGGACCTGGAGTCCTTTGAATTAGAGAGCAGGTTTGGTTGGAGTAACGGTGTCATCAAGCATTCAGGTAGCCTCGCCCCTCACTCCTCTGTGCACCATCTTTTCCTGGCCACCTGCAGTTTGCAGACACCCCGGGGAACCTGCCCCCATCTATGAACCTGTCCTACCTTCTTGGCCTGAAGAAGAACATCAGCGTCCTCCAGGCCTATCGGTAAGTGGGGAGGCCTGCAGCTGGGACTAGGGTCTGGAAAGAGGAGGGAGGTATAAAAGTGGGTGTTCCCTTAGAGTGAAGCCAGCCCCACCTGCCATCTTTCATGCCTTTTTTTTTTTTTTTTTATGTGTATCTTTCTTCCCCCAGACAGTGTAAGGCAGGGGCCGTGCTCTGGAAGGTTCTGCAGCTCAATGACTCCTATAACCTGGATAAGCACCTGGATATCAAACAGGTAGGAGAATGTTCCAGAAGGCTGCTAGGATCCTCCTCATGCACATCCCTTTTATTCTGTTCTTCTGGGGCACTGTCTCTGAATTAAAAACATCTCTATCAAGGCACCCCAAGGCAGAGATCTTAACAACCAACTCAGGGCCTGGCCAGACTTTGAACTATGGAAGATTCTGGGGATGTGAGTGTGTGAGTAGATGGATGCCATGGCCATCTCTGAGGATGTGCTCCAGGGAAAACTGAATACAGCACAGGTCATGCGAGGCGAGGACAGTGACAGTAAGAGTGTGGGAGGGGTGGGGTGGTCCTGATGAGGACAGATCCCAGGTAGCTTGTTCTAGCTGGGAGTGGCATGGAAGTGCTCCTGACCCAGCGGAGTGACACTGTTGGAGAGCTCCCTGCGGCCCTTCCTGAACCCTCAGAGCCAGTTGGTGGTAGATTCTACTCCCCCAGTCTGACCCGGAGTTTCAGGCTGTCTGTCCTCCCAGGACTTAGGTGGAGAAGTGTGGAAAGGTAGGAGGGACATGGTAGAGAACAGAGGCCCTTGTCAGCACTGGCAAAAGAAAGCTTCAGAATCTGGCGGGGGGTGGGGAGAGTTCATTTTAGAATGTGGCTCTAAAGATGTATGAAGCATGCCTTCTGTCCTCTCTCCATCCCCAGAGAAGATAGGGGAGAGGCCCCTGAGGAGCCATTTCTCTAAGCATGTCCTAGACAACACCCTGCAAAACACACACACACACACACACACACACACACACACACACACCCTGGCTAGCACTCTTGCTGCTCACACAAAGCTAGCTCATTTTGATCCACCCAAGAAATTTCTTAGGTCTGTCTCTATCACTAGTCATGGGTAACACGGTCGAACAAGACCAGTCCTGACTCCATCGCACCTTAACCCATGGCCGGGGATGTTTGTTTAATGTCAGCACCTTTTTTCCTCCAGTGTCTTTAACCAAGGAGTTGCCCCATGGCTTCAGCTTTTACAGCAGGGCCCTGGGCACAGGGGATCTCCAACCCTGCCAGCTGGAAGTCCTCTCAGCCTTACGTAACCTCAGCCCCAGAGGAGGAGAGCCCAGCTTTCAGAAAAGCATGGATCAATGAGGCTTCTGGTTCTGAGGGACCAGAAAGTTCTTTGAGGTTTCATGATATTTTATCAAATGTGACCTTGAAAAAAAAAAAAAAAACTTCTCAGAAAGCCACCAAGGAACCAGTTATGCACAGATCAGAAAGATAACATGTGCTGTTCAGGGCACCAGAATGTCTGCTGCTTCATGCCCTATCCCTGTCCTGATGCCTGGAGTGCTGCTACTGAGAGAGTTGAGGATCCCTCTCCCTGAAGAAAGGTTACCTAGTGGGATGGGAAGAGGTGATATCAGATGAGTTACCTTCTCTGGAGCTGGATGTCATGACCACAGGATAGGCAAATGCCAGATGTCTTTCCTGGAAACGTGGGTGTATCATTTATTCACTCTCTCACTCACTCACTCACTCACTCTCTCATTCACTCAGTCACTCAAAGCCTACAAACTTGTCTCTCAACCACCGCTTGACAGACTCTGCTTCAGATGAGGGGCCTCCGAGTAGTCAGAGCCCCAGGTATTACTGAGCTGATGAGCTTGGATTAACAAGCCCAGGAATAAGTGATTTTAGAGTATTGGGTGCTATGATGACCTTAATACAGAGGATGTGATCAAGAAGGGCCAGAAAGCTGTTTTGCATCAAGTGGCCACAGGAAGTATATGCCACAGCCCAGTAGCCACACGGTCCCTGGAAGCAGGCCGGGACACCGAGTAGAGTTCTCTCGGAAGCCTGGGAACCCGTGTCCAGAGTAGTGGTGCTGGCCCTTAAGCCTAGTGAGCAGGCTCAGCCACGTGTCCTCTCCCACAGTACACCCGCAAGTTTCAACAGGAGCTGCAGCGCTTCAAAGTGGATGTGAAGGACCTTGACCTGTTGACCCCCGAAGCTCGACAGGACCTGGAGGCTTTGCAGGGTAGCAGGCTGGAGAAAATCCACTATGGAGACTTCCTTGTACAGGTCAGTGAGACGCACATCTGCCCAGCAGGATGTGACACCCAATGGAAGGGCCATTCTGGGTGTGTTTTCACAGTCTCTCTGCTCCCGGGACTCTTTCCCGTTAAGGAAGTAGACATTCTCCCCCAGGTCCCTCCGTCTAGGCCACATGCCGCTGTTTGTGGTCCTGAACCCACTGCTGCCAGAACGCCCCACATGTATGGGTGTTTTGTCTGCATGTATGTCCAGGCACCATATGAATGCAGTGCCCGTGGAGACCAGAAGAGGGCAGCAGATTCCATGGGACTAGAGTTTCCGATAGTTGTGAGCCACCATGAGGGTGTTAGAAATCCAACCCCGGTTCTCTGGAAGAGCAGCCAGTGCTTTTAACGGCTCAGCCGTCTCTACGACTCAACCATGACTTTTCTTTGAGGCACTTCAGGGGGCATCTTCTTCTTTTTTTATTTTTTATTTTATTTTTTTCCTATTTCATTAGAAACGCTGAAATACTTCACAGCCTCGGTTCAAACTCACTGTGACTCCTCACAGTAGGCTTGCTGGGGCTGGGGTGTGTCTGGCTCAGTTGGCAGAGTGCTTGTCTCTCAAGCGCAGAGCCCTGGGTTCATTCCCCAGTACTGCATTAAAGCCTCAGGCCTGAATCTCAGTGCCTGAGAGGTAGAAAGAGGAGGATGTGCGAGTCTGAGTTCAGCCTAGGCTATATGAAACCATCTTTGAGATAATAGCAGCAGTGATGGAGATGCCATGGAAATGATGAGTCTGGGAATTCAGAGGCTGAGGGTAACTGGGGACATCTGGGTTCAGCCTTCATCCTGCCTTCCCTCAGATCCAAAAGCCTGTGGTGAAGACTGACATGGAGCAGCTGGCGCAGGAGCTGGAAGGACTGGCTCTGGCCCAGGTGAGAAGGGGGCAGAGACCCTTCATCCAGACGGCCATTAAGAGGGAGACCTGGGCAGGAGGGGCTAGGTATGCTGGGATTGGAGAGGGGACAGGGACAGAGGCTGGGGCCTGAGGACACCACCCGTGGGTGCTGAGGCTTTTTGCCCTGCCGGTGGGCTTGAAAGCTCTGCAGCTTCGGTTCCCATTCAGGCCCTGCTGCCGATTTTCTGTGCGGCCTTGGGCAAGCCATTTCGGATCTCCGGGCCTGTGTCTCTGCATCTGTAGACTGTCCCAATCTCAGATCAGATGAAACATCTGGCCTAACCTCACACAGCTGGGCCAGCTTCAGAGCCTACTGGGATGGGTGCCGAGAAGACACCCCCCTCCCTTGTGGACACGTGTGCTCAGTACAGGAAGCCACTCTCTGTGTTTAGAGATGTGTCAAGTTTCTGAAGGTCCCTTTAAGACATCTGAGACTCCACAGCCACCTTGACCCTGGGTAGAGCAGGGAGCATTGCCCAGTTTTAGCAGCGCTCTCCAGAAGCTTACATCGTGCTGTGGCAGATTTTAGTGGCATCCAGCTCAGGAAAGACGTAATACAGGAAGAACCTGAGCTTGGGGGCTTTCTGTCTCTGAGCCCAGCACTTTCCACCTCCCTTCATCCCCTTGGAGGGCTGCTCTTCCCGTTGGGGTGGGAACAGTTCTGACCTTTTTGTCTGCCCTCAGAACGACTCTGCACTGAGGCAGCAGCTACAGGAGGAGGCCAGAGAGCTTCGAAGCCTCTACCAGGAGAAGGTTGTCCCCCAGGAGAGCCTTGTGGTAAGTTTGGAGGGAGTCTGGGGCCTGAGGGAGAGGAGGGATGGAGAGAAAGCAGTGAAAGGAGAGCGGGATCAGACAGTCTTCATTTCTTGCCTCTGAATTTTTGCCTGTAACTACCTTGATTCTTCCTCCACAGGCCAAGCTCAACCTCAGTGTCAGGGCCCTGGAGTCCTCTGCCCCAAATCTTCAGGTGGCTAATGGGAGAGGGAGGGTGGCAAGATGGCTGCTTGAGATCTCTGTTCTGTTCTGTCCTATTAGAAGGTGAAGGGGGAGGAAGGGGAGGGGTCAGATCATTAGGGACCTCTTTCTTTGGCCTCTGGGTCCTAGAGCCTGCCCCTCCTCCTTTAAGCTGATGTGTGGTACAGTGTAGGATGGGTGGATGGTGAGTGGATATGAATAGCTGAGTTGGTCTATCGTCTCCTGCAGGTGAATGCCTCAAACATTCTTGGCAATGTCACTTATCTCAAAGGAGAGCTGCCTGCCCAGACCAGCCTCATCCTGAGGAATGTGAGTTGAGGGCAGGGTATTGCCTTTAAGCCAACCATGAGGAGTCTATCCTGGGCTTCTCCAGCTCATCTCTCAGTGTGGCTCCCGTGAGAGCCAGGCTTGTCCTGATGATGATGATGAGGTGTGGAGAGGCAGGACCTTTGCCAACCCAGGGCTCCTCTCTTTCCCGTAGGCCACTGAGTGTTTCCTGACCAGGGAAATGGACTACTTCTCTCAGTATGTGGCCTGGGTAAAAGAAGAGGTAAGTGAGGACACAGAACCCCACCTGGGCCTCAAAGTGTACCCACCCCGGAGGACCAGCTGTGGGGCCCTTTGGGGGTGCCCTAGGCCTTTGAGATTGGACCCAAATTCCCAAACCTGCCATCTGCACTCTGGCTCACAAAGATGACGATGTCCACCCCACTTCTACCCCCAGAACTTGTGTGAGGCCCATGTACGAACTAGGTTGGCCATAGCTTTCTAGAATATCCCATCTATACCTTGTCCCCATGCCTCTCCATGGACGGATCCCTCACCCCGCCATCAAAGCCCACCTCCTCCTGCATGCCCTCTGGGCTTCACAGACTAACCTTGCCTATCTTGGCTTACCCTGAGTATCTGTATGTATGCACACATGCTTGTGTGTGCCTCTCCAGCAAGAATGGCTTAAAGCCATAATTGGGGACATAATGAGACTTACATGTAGGCTGGTGAGTAGGTACAAAGGGTGAGAGCTGAGTAGGAAGTTCAGTATCCCAACCTTCCAATGGACCCATGGCCATTATGTCTGCACGTTCACCTGCCACTCTATGTTCAAGTGTGAGGCATCCCCAGATGTGGCTGTGGGCTTCTCTATGTTCCTATCAGCCTCATCCTCAGAGGAGGGGGTACACACCTGTGGATCCCGGTGTCCTCACATACAACCTGCCTCGTGTTTGGCACCACAGGTGACTCAGCACATCGCCACCTGCCAGCCCCTCTCTGTAGCCCTGGACAATGGTCATGTGATCCTGTGTGACATGATGGCCGACCCCTGGGTGAGTGTCCCCAGCCCATCATGGATACAGAGGCCAATGGAAGGGGACTGAAGGAGGGCATGAGGCCAGGTGGGTGGAGTCAGTGCAGGGCCTCTGGGCACAGGGCAGGTGGGAAGGCACTAGGCCCATCCTGGTGAGCTGACCTTGTGGCTCCCATCCAGAATGCCTTCTGGTTCTGTCTGGGGTGGTGCACCTTCCTCCTCATCCCCAGCATCATCTTCGCTGTCAAGACCTCCAAATACTTCCGTCCCATCCGGAAACGCCTCAGGTGAGGGGCTGCCAGAACCACAGTGGGCATCAGATATCTAGGAATTCTTCACAACCACTGGGACACACCCTGTCTGGGAACCTCCCAGGCACCAGCTCTAAGGAGTGTTGGGGCCTGAAAGTTCCTACATAAGCCCGCTGCATGTCTTTCTTGCTGTGACATATCCACTTGGGGACTAGCTTCTTGGGACTTCTCATCCTCTGAGGGATCCCTGACAGAGCTCCAGCTGTCCCTGTGTCAGGGCTGAGAGTGTGTGCTGGGGACTCACTTTAGTTCTGTGGTGTCACAGCTCCACCAGCTCTGAGGAGACACAGCTTTTCCATATCCCCAGGGTCACCTCCCTGAAGCTATAGGACCCACTGGTGAGTTCCACACCCCGCCCCCCACAATCCCTCAGTGCCTGAGCTGAGGGGCTGCAATCTGGGATTCTCAGCATCCGGGAGGGCAAGAAGGCTTGGGGTCTGGATCTGCCTGGAAACGGAACCCATCCCCCACCACCACCTGTTCCCTTTTTCATTTACAACAGGGCAAGGTGATCCCTGGGGGCTTCCTGTCCTTCTTCCTTGTCTCAGCCTGGACCAGAAGACTTCCGTAATTCCTGTCCCAGAGCCCAGGCTGGCCTCTAGTGCTGGCCTGTCCCCTCTTCTCCTCCAGCTTACCAGTCTCGCCTTTGCACCCTTTCTCCTCGTGAACCAAATCATACTCGGCCTTTACTGAACTACAGAGCCAATGGGTTCTTCTGGCCATCTAGCCCTTGTCCTCCTTGCTGTGGTATCTCAACAACACAAAGGGCCTCTTCTCCGCCCATGGAAGCTCCTTCTCCAGCCTTTAGGGACACAGATTCCTCCATTTGCCCCATCTCTTTCTCCCCTCTTCCTGTCCTAGCACCTCTCCCCTTGGCTGAGTTTGGTCCCCCACCTGTCCCAGCCTCCTTCCTGTTCCCTGCCCAGCTTGCTCTCTCCATGGAGGTCCTGCCTCCCTCTCCCCTCTTTACCTTCTCCTTGCTGCTACCTTGCTGGTTCCCAGCAGACGTCATGGTTGAGGTCGTGACCCCTGAGCCTTCTGTAGCTCTAGTCTGTATCTCCTGTTCCCAGCAGGTAAGGCAGGCCTGTGTGAGGACTGAGCTGTTAGAAATAGCAGTGCTGGCCCTATCTTCTCTCTGAGCATTGCCTCCTAAGATAGGATGAGGGATGTGGCCACACTGGGGTTCTCCCTTTGACTCACAGGCAGTAGCATGGGTGGTCCCCACTGTCTTTCCCTGGAAGGATCTAAGTGGTGAGAACAAAGTATTTGCACTCCTCCTTCCATTCTGCACATATGGCCTGGGCTCACCCCTCACCCATCTCTGCATGGTCCCTACGTGCTGGACACTGGGTCCAGAAAGGACGAAGAAAAGAGAGACAACATGGACCAGCCTCTGTTCCATTAACATGTTCTCACATCCCTAAGCTTTGGTTCTGGGTCCCTGAGGCTGGTCTCTGAGGCTGAGGCTCAGTATACGTTTGGTATTTAATGCACATTTGTGAGAAGAGCTCCAAGGCCTCTCTGACTGCAGGCATCCTGGGACTGTGGGATGATTCAGTGGGAGGAGCAGCGCCTGCCTAGTCATGTGATCACAGCCTGGTTCTGATGCTGCTAGCTGGGGCACCTCGTGTTGCATGGGTTCCCCCAAGCCTCGATTTCTTTTATTGTAAAGTGGAGGGTTGTGAAAGTCACACATGATGATGGGCAGAAAGCCTCGACAGGGTCTGGTGTTGAGCAAGTGCAGCTCCCGAAGCTCAGGAGTTCCGAGCCAGGCTGAAAGAAGAGTCAGGGTCTGGGCATGAGGGAGGGATGCCCTTCATGATGCTTGCCGGCTCTGTTTCTGGAAATGTTGAATTACATCTTATGAACTGGATAGTGGTCCCCAATGCACTGAGACTCCTGCAAGCATATGCTCAAACTGGCATCCTGGCAGATTTTTTTTTTTTTTTTTTTTTTTTTGCTTTTCCAAGGGGTTGGAAGTTTTTTTTTTTTTTTTTTTTTTTTTTTTTTTTTTTTTTGGCTTTTCCAAGAGGTTGGAAGTTTTTGTTTTGTTTTTGTTTTCCAGTTGTTATTTGTTTGTTAACTTGGGGGTGAGAAAGTGACACCCTGTATTTTTTTAAATGCAATTGATGGGATCTAAACAAACGAAATAAAAGCAATTAAAGATGATTTCCAGTTCAATGTCAGAGTCCCTTATCTGATCTCTTATACGCCTGAGCACATTAACCCATGTTATTTTGAACTTGACTCTCTCATGTGGATGGCAGCACCTGGTAATCTGCTCCCAGTGGCTGTTGGGTCCCTTGTTTTGTTTTGTTTTTTGTTTGTTTGCTTCATCTTTCCTCTCTTATATGGTGGAGTTAGTTGAAAATTGACACTCTTGTATCTGAAAATCTGTCAGAATAACTGGAGGCCTTGGATGACATCATCTTCCCTGAGGATGCCGTATGCATCTAGCAGTGGTGGAGGGCCCAGCAAACAGGGTCGCTGTAATACACTGGCAGAAACCAAATAACTCGAAGTTCCCAGGAGAGTGGGTCTGTGCCAACTCTTCATATTCCTAGGGCAGTGCCCACCCCAAAGCATGGCAGATTTGTCGGGCACACCTCTCTTTAATGAGCTTGGCTTTTAACTAGGTGCCATTTAAAGCTCTTCTCATCGTTCTTTGGAATGAGAACACGCCCTAGGATGGAAGTAGGCCGCTACTCCCACAATGCCTGCTTTTATACAATGCTGCGATTCGAACCCAGGACTTCATGCATATTGAGCAAGCATTCTATCAAATGAGCTACATCTCTGTTCCAGCTCTGTAGTTCTTTACCGGCCCATTTGCTCCCTGCAGTTTAAATGTACATGATTTCAAATGCTCAAAAGGCACATACGTCGCATGTTCTCAATTACAAGTGGTGTTTAGCTGGGAATTATTCCTCAAGCACCCAGAAATTAGCACCCAGAAACCTCGTCACAGCCCCCCCAACACTGGTTTGGACAATAAGGGTTGTTCAGAGGTACCCAGGGATGGTGTGGTGCTGGCAGTTGACAAAGAGACAGAAATAGATGCAGAGGGAAACAGATGCCCATTTTCCCGGTTTTAAATCCTGGGTGGAACCTGGCTAGAGCTGCTTCGTATAGAAACTAAAACCCATCACTGTGGCAATTGTCTGCTACCACCACACTCTCTGAGGAGGAGGTCAAGTTGGTATCTGTGGTTGAGCCTGATGAAGCTCCAGGAAGTTACCTGGTCGCCTCAAGGTCATCTAAATTAGATCCAGGTCCCTGGTCCTGATCCTGGACGTGTCCTCTTGGATTCTCTGCATGTCTCCATCTCCTGTGGGCACATGGGAAAGAGGCCCTGTCTCCAGAGATATTTGAGTCAGATGTCCTTTGATGTCCCCGTGGCAGGAGGCATGACAGATTGGGGGCCCTGGGAGTTCTGCCAGATGCTGCCCCGGGTCACTCGGGCCCTGTGGCAGATTCTGCCAAAGGAGCATCATGTGGGATAGGGCATCTGGGGTCCCAGGTGGACAGCTCTGGGCAGCTCGGGAGGCACAAGGCAAAGGCCACATGGCGGGGTCTGGAGCAGAGTGAGCTAAGCCTGCAAACCAGGAAGTGTGCTAGGCACTATGAATTAGCCGAGAGAAAGGCCAGCATTTAGCTACTTGGTTTAGAAAAGGAAAGTGCAGAGATGGGGCATGGACAAGAACCACCCAGAGGAGTCCACAGATCCTGGTGGCACACCAGCACCCATTGGAACTCCCTGGGGTCCGGTCTGAGGTCCTGCTCAGAGTTGACCAGGGACAATGTCCCTCCTACCACTGTCCAAGAGCCAAAACACATTTCTTTACCACTTCTGGCTAAGGACTGAGCTAGGAGGCTGGCAGCCAGCCTGATGGAACTAAACTTTTTCTCCTGGCAACTAGTCCTTTCCTGCGTATCTCGGATATGCCAGATATGCTGGATATGCCGGATATGCCGTGTGGAGTATTTCACACTCTTCAGTCTTACAGACAGTAGTAAAGTTGTCAACATGGGTGAGGAGAGTTGGAATAATGGGGAGGTGGGACCCGTCCCAGTCCTGACCGCTGCCCACAGTGATGCGGGATTGGGGACAAGGCACCTGAGCCCTTGTCTACATTGAGGGTTCCTAGGTACCAGGGCCAGCGGAGACTTGAGGGAGGTAGGCTAAGCCCGAGGGTGAGGTGACGTGCCTTCCCTTCAGGAAAGCCAGAAGGCATAAAAAAGAGCAGGAGGGTCAGCAAGATAGCTCTGTGGATAAGGAAACTTACTGCCAAGCCTGATCGCTAGGACCCAAGTGGTTGGAGAACCGCCACCCACAAATTGTCCTTTGACCACCACGTGCCTCCTTCCTGCCCCTTTAAAAAGCAGAGCAAGTGGAGTTCATGAGGTCCCTGCAGTCTGAGAAATGTAGCGACCAGATGCTTCATTCTTCCTCTACAGGGTCACTGTTAGCTGTGTAAATGGAAGAGCTAATGGGGAGGGCTCCTGGTCCAAATGAAGGCTCCGGTGAGAGCTGGCATGGGGCTGTCTTGGTTGGCCCTGTTTCAGGCCTGATGAAGAAACAGACTTCAGTCAAGAGCAGGTGAACCTACCCGTGGGTGTTGGAAGCTCCTTGATAGCCATGGTTCCCCAACCACAAAACAGCCACCTGGAAAGATGGACCGGCCAATTGGGAACAGGCCTCCATCAGACGGGCCTGTAGGCAAGGCTGTAGAGCATTCTGTTAATTGATGATTGATGTGAGGGGGCCCAGCATACTGGGAGCAATGCCACTCCTAAGCAGGTGGGTATGGGTTGGATAAGAAAGCAGGCCGAGTAAACAGTGTTCCTCCATGGTCTCTGCTTGAGCTCCTGTTCTGACTTCCTTTCATGCTGTACTATAAGCTGAAATAAACCCTTTCCTCCCACAAGTTGCCTGTGGTCGTTGTCGTATAATATATAATTAGGCCACACAACATACCTGGTATAAGGAAGTTTATTTGGGGGAGGGGAAGAGGAGAGGAGTTGGGGCCTCCAGGAGGAGAGGTGGGGACAGATGATTGGACATATGGACAGGCAGGCAGAAACGAACAGTCATGAGGTCAGAGAAGGACGAAAGAGAGAGAGAGAGAGAGAGAGAGAGAGAGAGAGAGAGAGAGAGAGTGCAGGGTGGCAGAAGTCCTTTTTATCCAGCACATACCTGGCATGCCTGGCAGTGTCCACAGGTGATGTCATGAAACCCTGCTAGGACCCTGAAGGCAAGCTAGCGTGTACATTAATAGTTGTCTTTATCACAATAACAGAAAGGAAAGTGGGACAGTAGGCCCCTGGGGCTACCCAGGACAGAGAAAGGGAGAGCCCATAACTCCACCAACCCCAGGAAGTGGCTTAGCTAGGCTGACCACCCACCCTCCCTGGGAGCAGGCCTCCTGCCTACAGAAGTCGGTTTGGTCCCAGTGGCCCCCACTTCAGGGCAGGTGTGCTGAATACGAATGAGCCAGAGGAGAGCCCGGACTGTGCTATGTGGACTAAAGCAACAGACCAAGAACTGCTTCTGTCCCCCTCCTAAAAAGTGTCCTGGGCCTGTCAGGTTTCCATGTGGCTAGTGGCAAAAGAGATTTCAAGGGTCTGAGGAAGAGAGCAGAAGTGACCCCAGGTGTTCACAGTTCCGGGCTGTGTCCACTTTTGAGATTTACAGCACCCAGGGGAAGGCTTTTTAGGGCAGCAGGGGTCTTTGGAGCTCTTGTGAGATTAGAGTGGAGGTCCTCTCACAGGTAAGGGCTGTGAGGTGTGGCTCCTGAGAGACGCCCACAAGGCCCTCTGCAAGGTCCAGACACAGCAGGGACCTGAGGCTCCTGGTATGGAGAGGTCATGAGCAGGAACTGAAAAGGGTTCAGAAGACACCAAGGTTTTTGGTTGTGGTTGTGTAAGTTTCTTTCCTAGATAGGAGGAAAGGGCCCCTGCTGGCTGAAAGAGGGCCATGGCTGCATCTTCACGTGTTGAAATAATAATAGCAGCTTCCTGAAACTTGAAATTACCCATCCCCCTTTCTCTTGCAATCTGCACCCCCACCCCACCTCCAGGCGCACCTGAGGAAGCCACAGCTAAAACCCACCAGCCTAACTTGCCAAACCACACTGGGTCTTCTTTAGCTTCCTAAACCTTTTTGGCTCCAACAGGCCAAATTCCAAGAGTCTCTCTTAGGGGAAGTTAGCCCGTGCTCATTTGGCAGAGCAAGGCTGAGGTCCACTTGAGGCCCCTTGGCCCCTTTTCATTCCTCCATCTCCCAGAGACCCTGGAAGGACCCTTGAAATGCCTGGGGCCCTGGGAAAGCCCCTGAGAGAACTGGAAGAAAATGGGTTAGGTGACTCAAGGCTCCTGGCAGAGCACAGGTTTTCCCCGGGGCCTGTGTTTATGAGGGGCACCTGCTGGGTAGGGGCTGGGGGGGTGGTTGTCACTGGCTCCCTGGTCAGCCAAGGAGGAGGGGAGCTGCTCTAGACTAGCTCTGGCCATAGCCTGTTATTCCCAATAAACACATATCAGAGGTGGAATCTCAGCAAGGGCGCCAAGCAGAGACTTGTGGCTCTCTAAAAAGAGGCACTGGCTTGGGGGTGGGCTGCTCAGAAGACCCTGCCTCCTCAGAAAATGCCATAAGTAAGGCCAGGCCTGTCCTGGGCTATAATTTCCAAGCTGATTGCTGAACCTGTAACTGGTGGGTAGAAAATTCCCCCAAAACTGGCTTTGACTGAAAACAGCCCTGATATGCTGCTTGGTCGGGTAGGCAAAGATTTGGCTTTTCTGAGTTTTACCATCATTAGCACAGACTGGGATAATGACCCTTTTCTCACCAGCCCACTGTGTGACTCCAAGGCTTTGTGGGAACTTGCCTAATGCCAGGAGAACACAGCTGTGAAGACTGGACCAACCCTGGGAGCCTCTGGGGCCCTCGCCATCCCTTTTTCCAGAAGCCTCAGTCAGCTGAGTGCCTTGCCAAGAGTGAAGTCCTGTTGAGCAGAAGGCAGAGCTGTCACCTCTCCTCTGGGGACAGCCTTCCTGCCTGGGGATCAACAGCCCCAGGGTTTTGCCTCGGGAGGGTCGGGCAGCTGGAGCTAATTGGCCAACTCAATAAAAAGGGGTGGGGCAGGGTAGGGAGGGCAAGCAAGTGCTCCTGGGCTTTCTGGGAAGGAGGGGCTGGCTCAGGCTCTGTTTCCATGGGAACCCACTGGCACAGGCAGGCTCCTCAGGGCGCCAAAAAGGGAAACTTGGCGCAGGTTTCGGCACCTGTCTCCTGGCGAATTCCCTCAGGGATTAGAAAATGTCCCAGAGCTTGTCTCCTATAGGGCAGGGTGGTCCCTTCCTGGGGATGCTCAGGACCCTTGATGCCTTCTTCCATTCCCAGATCCCATTCCATGCGATCTCGGGGAGGTCCTGTAGCTGCCCAGAATCTCTCAATTTGGTCCCAACCTCAGAGCCAGCGGACAGTGAAACCGGGAAAGCGTGTGAAGCGCCTGCTCCAGCTTGGAAGATTTCCTTACTGAGGGGTGGCACGGAGGTGATGAAGGGATGGGAAGACCCCAGGTATTACCTTAGTGACGCAATCCCAAGGGCTCCCCTCTTTGTCCTGGGCAGGGACTGGTGGTGGAGTGGCCCCCCACTCCCGACTTTCCCTCTGACTAGGAAGGGTGGGAACAGATCTTGTAGTAGAGGGAGATGAGAGCCAGGGACAGACCCTGCGCCTGCACAGGGGGACTAATAGGCTGAGAGGCCAGGAGAAAGAGACACTGGAGGTTGGGGGAGAGGGGGATGGAGGGAAGGAAGGATAGAAGGGAAACGGAGGAAGAAGGGGGAGAGAAGAGGCAGAGGAAGAGAGGTGGAGCTAAGACCCAGGAGAGAGGCAGGGAGGGAGGGAGGGAGGGTGGAAGGAGTGGGCAGGGGGCGGGGGAGAAGCCTCCAGTGACAATTGCTTATGGGTCCAGGCAAACATGAGGCAGCTGCCAGCCAGACCAGGCAGTCTGGCTCTGTCGGGTTGCAAAGCGGGAAGGCTAAAGACAGTTCCCTTCAGCAGCCGAGATGCAGAGGGCCAAGGTAGGTGCTGAGGGGCCAGGGGCTTGCCTGGACTTGGGGGAATGTGGGGCTCCGGAGTTGCTCTTGACCAGGGAGTATTTTCACTGTGGTCCTGGTGCCTCCTTCCTCAACCCCTACTCCTGCTGACCCCCGTAAGGGAAAGTAATTTTGGGGGGCATCCTGAGTGGGAGGCTGGAATCCATCCACCCTCTTTTGGATGGAAGAGGCTCTGGCTGTCTGTGGGCAGAAGAGAAACTCGAGGTTAGTTCTATGGCTGGTCCTGTTCAGTTAGGTGCCCCCCAGGGTGGGGACCAGGGTAACTAAACCTAGCTTCATGGACTTTAGTGAAACGCAGGAGCATAGAGAAGGGTGTGTGTGTGTGTGTGTGTGTGTGTGTTCCATGGAGCTGTTGGGGGATGGAGAGAGAGGGGAGGCAAAGAGGCGCCTGGCACAAAGTTCAAGTTCAAGAAATAGTAGTGCAGTGAGGGGAAGGATGGAGCCAAAAAAAATAAGCTGTGCCCCAACTTAGCAGTGACCCTCAGAGAGTCTGGCCTGGAGCCCTGCATTCTCCCCACAAGTCTGGAATGGTCCTGCTTACGGGAAGAAAGAGCCGGATCCAGGTCCAGTTGAATGCCCCAAATAAGGAAATCAAAGGTCTTAAAAAAAAAAAAAAATGAAAATAGGAATAGCAATTCGGCTGGCATCTTTCAGTCTTTCCTCCAAAGGGATGGCTTCCTTCCCCCTCTCCATGAGGACAAGCAGCCCAGAGAGTTCTGGGGACAGGTTTCAAGGCCGTACTGCCTGAAAGTCCAGGATGTTATCCCTGTCCTGCCTGGGCCATTTTCCAGGATACCCAGAAGGATCAGCAGATGAAACAAAGCCTTTTGAGCAGAAGAGCAGGGCACCTTGAAAGGTACTTCCTCTGTTGTCACAAGTGTCCCTAACAATCTGTGGATTGGCAGGGCAGAAGCAGAAACAACTCCCTCTCTGTGTCCACGGATACAGGGATCCCTACTGCCAGGTGTGTGTAGATGTGTGCACAGCTGGCTCTGTCCCCCTTCCCTTACCCCTCTCTGATGACTTGAATTTCCAGAACTCTCCCTGGGATCTTGACTTCCACTGCCCTACCACACGGGCAGAGTGAGTAGGCAGAGTGCCACAGTCCACCTGGCCGTTCTCTTGGCCAACGTGACCTCCATCATGCCCACAATCGGCTACTGGGCTCCCACGGGGCTCGTTATGCTTACGCCTGGCCCCTGGATTCCCATGTGTAGCCTGGCCCAGGATGGAAGCCAGACCCACAGTGACAGCGGTGCTGGGTGAAGCCCCCACTGTCCCCTTCCAGTAGGAGATGATGAAAGTGGCAGGAGAGACAACCAGCAGAGGCCAGGAGCTGGTCCTGCTCTTCATGGTCAGAGCTGCTGCCAGTCCTGCCCCTGCCTTTCCTCCATACGCTCCAGTCATTCCATTATTGGCCCTCACTTAGAGCTGCAGAGTAGGCACTGACCATGATGCCAGCCCTCCTGAGCCAAACCTTGCATCAGGAGGAGTGAGCCAACAGCATTCAGGTGCTGAGGTGCCTGTATGGATGAATCAGTTTGGCCCTGAGAGCCTCTCCAGCTTCTTGCAAGATGGACTTTAATTTGCCCTGTTTGTGAAGGCAGTAACTGAGATCCCAGACAGGGTCGGGAAGGAAGGGTCCCTGAGGCCACCCTTCCCTCTCAGACACCGTCCTCATGAAGCCCACCAAGCAGGCTGTGGTGTTGTTCTTTCTCTACGGGTGAGAAACAGAGGCGCTTCCTAGTCTGCAAGCAGTATTGAAACTGGGTTTGAGCTCTGTCTTGTCTTCCACAGCACAGACTCCAAGCGTGGGGTGGGGGAGGGGCGGGGGTGGAGTGGAGGTGGGGAATGACAGGAGCAGACTCCAGGGGAGAGAGGCATGCCTTTAACCAAGGGGGTTTGTGCCTTCAGCCTGCCACTTAGTGACAGAGTGGAACTCTGTCCCAGCCATGACCCCTGCCTGCATTAGCCCCTACTCCTCTTTTCCGGGCTGTGTAAAGGAAAGAACCTAAGATTCCCTCCCTCCTTTCTTTTCTTTTTATTTTCTGTGTCAGATAGTCCAAGCAGGCTTTGCTATGTACCCAAAGATGACCTTGAACTTCCGATCTCCTGCCTCTCCCCCCTGAGCGGTAGGATTACATGTGTGCGCCGTTATACCCAGTTCACGCTGGGGCTCAGACCCAGGGCTTTTCACACACTAGACAAGCAGTCTGTCAACTTAGCTCAACTCAGCCTGGTCCCCTTCCCTCGTCCCCATCTTCCCCAAAGTAGAGAGCTGTTTGAGAAACTCAGGCCAGCCTTAGGGGCACCTTCTCCTCCCTCAGACCCCTGGTCCTCTACTGGCATTCTCAGAAGAAGTCGCAGGCTGCCTGATGTGGCCTCTGTGAGGACTTTCAAGGCAGAGAAGAAAGGGGGAGAGCGTCTGCCTTGGCCAGCCCTGCCCCAGGCGGGAAGTGTGCACACTGTGCATGACACAGTGCCCCCCCCAGCTCCGAGCCCCCCCCCTTGAACAGGTGCATCTATCAGCTGTGATCAGCCCACGTCCTAGAACATCACAGAGCAGCCATGTGACAGTACCAGAACTGGAGCAGGGGGAGCTGGCAGGCAGGAGGATAGCCAAGAGGGGCCTGTCCCTCAGCTCTCCCGTTCTAGCCTGTCTCAGTCCTGTGTCCAGCTGCCCTTGTGCTCCATTCAGTGAGGCAGAGCAGGGATGCCTGGCTGAGGGTCTCATCTCCCCGCTTTCCCCAACCTCCAAGCTGACTTCCCTGATGACATGCCCTTGCCCTTTGCCTCATCGTAAAAGCCTTTTTCTAGACAGGCACTCAGGGCAGTGGTCGCAGGAAACTCAGTGCTAACTAGGGCTCTGTCCCCATGCCTCTGAGGCTTACTTGTCCCTCTCTGGGCCTTCAACTTCCCACTGGGCAGCTGGAAATAGCACACTTCAATGCCTGCTAGAAAAGCCCAGGTGCCCATCAGCACCTGTCCACCCTGTTTAGTACTGGAAAGCCCTGGCTGCAGAGGAGGTGGCTTGGTGAGGGCTTGGGGCTGCCTCTGTAGTCTGGGAGCCCTGGCTCTGCATCAGGTGAATCTGGGCTCGGCTTTAGCCCCTTCAGGTATCAGCTGTGTGGCCACAGACAAATTACTTAGCTCCTCTGTGCCGAGGTCTCCTATCACCAACCTCCTTGAAGGATAAAACCCTCTACCAAAACATTTAGCCTGGACCTCACCTATCTGATCGCTGAATCTAACCTAATCTTGACAGGAGGGTTACCAACGAGAAGCTAGGTCAACCCCTGAGTTAATGGGGGTGTCCTCACAGACAAGGGCAGGGGAGCTCACGTCCTGGCAAGTTGGCAGGCATGAGACACAGAACCAGGACCACCCAGTTCTGTCCTCTGCTGCTGCAGCACGCTGAGTGTAAGGCTCAGGGATGTGTGGTGCATGTGTGAGGGTACGCACACTCGTGTGTGTGTGTGTGTGTGTGTGTGTGTGCGCGTGTGTGTGTGTGCGCGTGTGTGCGTGCACACGCCTGCCCCCACCTACAGGAACGTGTGGCTGTCTCAGCTTCCCCTGCCAGGATGAATTACCTGGCTCACATCTGCCTGTGCCCGGCAGTGGGTGGAGAACTCGGGCTCTCGCAGCTTCCCCGTCCCTGGGGACCTGCACGACGCAACACCCACCACTGCCTTCTGCCATCTGTCCCGTCCGATGGAAATAGAGCAAACAACCAGTGGGTACTGTGTGAGCCGGCGGGCATCCAGGCAGTCCCCGTGGAAGGAAGGAGGGGTGCAGGCCAGCCCCGCCTCTGTCGCAGAGCCTGGCCTCAGGGGCAGTCTGCATGCGAGGGGGGGTTGGGAATCTGGAGCACCCCTCCCGTACCGAGGTCCAGAATGTTCTCTCTGGTGGGATAAGTACTCTAACCCTTAGCTGCATTGCTCACTCTACAGAGGACAAGTTTTTAGGTTTGGTTTATATTGTGTGTTTGTTTGCCTTTTAATAAAAATGAGCAGGTAGGTGTGTGCCCCACAGGCCCCTCCTGTCCAGGTGGGCATAGCTATTTGGGTCTCCCCACACAAGGTTCCTGAGTTTGGCTCTTGTGGATTGCTCTTGCCGCCTTGCACAAGCAGTAAGACCCCCAACTCAGGGCCATAAAGACATCGATGACTGCCATGGTGGGGGCGGGGCAGTTGTATTCATTACTTCATCTGTATTTCTGGGAGGGCATGCTATGGTCCCTATCTGCAGATGAAGAAACTGAGGTTTGGGGTAGCCAAGGGCAGGATTTCCCAATGAGGGCTCAGCCTTCAAGTCTCTGCCTACCTGGCCATGGGGCCTCTTCCCTCTGCCTGAAATAACGCCAGCCTGTCCCGAATGCCCCACCCACAGCAAGGTGTGGCCTCTGCACCAGCATCCAGTGTCCTGGTTGCTTTAGAAAACTTCTCACTGCTGTTTCCATTCATGAGGCTATGTACTTGTTTGTCTTTATGGTGTGTGTGTGTGTGTGTGTGTGTGTGTGTGTGTGTGTGTGTGTGTG